ACAAAACTTCACACACAAATGCACCATCACCAGACGGAGTGCCATATTCACTGTTCATCACCCTAGCACAAAGATCAATGTCACAAATCAAGGTCATGTTATGCAAGGTCTTTGCTTCTCCCACCCATAACTTCTAATCCGCTGAAGATAATTTAGCAAAACTTCATACACATGTGTAACACCATTAGACAGCATGTCATGTAATTTTTTCATCACCCCAGTGATAAAGTCAAGGTCTTAAATCTAAGTCAAAGTTAGAACAAGGTCTTTGCTTGTCCAGACCAAAACATCTGATCCTCACATACAACATGTACACTGAGTGCTAAAAATGACATTGCTTGAGATCATCATGTATAAAGTGATTTCAAGGTTGGACCAATAACTCCATTTCTCATAAAAAGATTATTTTAGTTTCAAACGCTGGCATGAATGGAAGCAGGTGATATGTATTCTTTCAAGAAACTAAAGGCCTTTAACTTTACATTTGCAACTTTTTAACTACACTTTTCATCACCCCATCTCTAAGGTCAAGGTCACAAGTCAAGGTCAAAAAGGTCACAAGTCAAGGTCAAAGTTGACAAGGTTTTTGCTTGTCCAGATCATTGCTATATGTTGTTGTATAATAGTTTATTAATGGACGTATAGTGAGTATGTGGTACTCTTTATCTATTCATTTGGATTTTTAATTTTTACAACAAACGTTTCCCATCCATCCATCCATCCATTATCTTTTACCCGCTTCTTCCGTTTTGGGTCACGGGGGTTGCCGGTGCCCACATCCAGCAATCACTGTGCGAGGGGCGGGGTACACCCTGGACGGGTCGCAAGTCATCACAGGGACACATATTACGGTGGCCCTAAGGTGTAAATGAACAACATTTGAAAAAACAGAATTACATTAAGGGGAAGTGGCCGAAGCGGAAGTGGCCCGAATCACATTTGAAAAAACAGAATCACATTAGAAAAAACGGAATTACATTAAATATCCTGATGCATGCTCAATAATCCAGGTAGAAAAATCTAAAAAAGTTAAATCTGGTCCTCTGGACATTCAAAAAAACAAAACAAAGCAAATCAACAAAAAAATGTAGAAACGTTTCGTCTCTCATCCGAGAGACTTCCTCAGTCTGAGGAGCTGTATTCAGCTCAGTCTCTTAAATAGCACCGTCTCAGGGTGGATCAACCAGTTTTGCTGCTGACAACCAAAAACAGCTGATCACATGCTCAAGAAGGACCATCAGCCTAACAATGGATCATTAGCACACTGATGGCTGTTTACTGTTCACAGAGGGCTGAGTGATACTAGCAATCACAGCATTGTAAGAGGGGGACAGTTGAACCCGTAGGCCTCCACCCCTGTTTAATGATGGATGGTTTCTTTTCACAAAGATGGCCTCCTTTACTCCTCTCTCAAACCATCGTTCCTCTCTGTCCAGGATGTGAACATCTTCATCCCTGAAAGAGTGACCGCTGGCCTGGAGATGAGTGTAGACCGCAGAGTCCTGGCCTGATGATGTTGATCTTCTGTGCTGGGCCATCCTTTTGGCCAGTGGCTGTTTAGTTTCCCCGATGTAAGACTGATCACAGCCCTCCTGACACTGAACAGCATACACAACATTGCTCTGTTTGTGCCGGGGGACTGGATCTTTGGGATGAACCAGTCTTTGCCGTAATGTATTTTGGGGTTTAAAAGCCACTGGGACGTTATGTTTAGAAAATAAACGTCTCAGTTTCTCTGATACTCCCTCAACATATGGAATGACCACTGGTCTGGGTCTGGGTTCCTCCTTTTCACCTGTTGGCTGACTGGAGTCCTGTTTGGGTTTCTTCTCTGCTTTCAGGAAGGCCCAGTTAGGATATCCACATTGCTCTAGAGCCATGTGGGATTTCTCCTTCTGCCTGGCTCCTGAGCTAGTGGGGACGCTGTCTGCTCTGTGATACAGTCCTGATGACTCCTAACTTGTGCTCCAAAGGGTGATGGGAGTCAAACTGCAAATACTGGTCTGTGTGGGTGGGTTTGCGGTACACCTCGGTTTGCAAATGTCCTCTATCAGAGACTGAGACCTCACAGTCCAAGAAAGCCAACTTGCCATTTTTTACATCTTCTCGTGTGAACTTGATGTATTTATCCACAGAGTTGATGTGGTCAGTAAAATGTTGGACTTCCTGAGATTTGATTTTAACCCAGGTGTCGTCAACATACCTGAACCAATGACTTGGTGGTGTCCCTGAAAAGGACGTCAAGGCTCTCTTTTCTACCTCCTCCATGTACAGGTTGGCAACAATAGGAGAAACTGGAGACCCCATAGCACACCCATGTTTCTGCCTATAATATTGCTCCCCATATGTGAAGTAGGTTGACTGCAGGCACAGTTTCAAGAGTTGACACAGTTGTTCTGTAGAATTACATTAAGCCAAAGCGGAAGTGGCCAAAGCAGAAGTGGCCTGAATCACATTAGAAAAAACAGAATTATATTTGAGAAAACGGAATTACATTAAACCAAAAGGAAGTTTTTTTTTTTACTGTATTAACAGCATAAAACAGAACAATATACAGTACACACACATCAGAGATATGTGTGTACTGTATATTCTAAAAAAGTTGTCAGGTCCTCTGGATGTTCAAAAAACAACAACAATAAATAAAATTGTAGAAAAGTTTCATCTTTCATCCGAAAGGCTTCTCGAGTCTGACGAGCTGTATTCATCTCAGTCTTATAAATAGCACCTTCTCATAGTGGGTCAATCAGTTTGTTGTTGACATTTAAAACTAGTTCACATGATCAAGGAGGACCATCGGCCTAACAATAGATCGTTAGCACCCTGATGGCTGCTTGCTATCCACAGGGGGCTGAGTCATACTAGCAATAACAGCATTGTAAGAGGGGGACAGTTGAACACAGAGGCCTCCAGAGGACCTGACTTAGGCCCTATTTAGACGGACACGATGGGGGGAAACGTAGGTTTTTTTCGTATGTTAATTAAAGGAAAAGATTTGCGTTGACACGGTCGGATTTTGGGTTTACATGCATCCGGAGGATTCCCCCCCCCGCCCTCCTGAATCCGCTGTAGTTACCATGCCAGATCATTAGATGGCGCTGTGAATTTTGTACCTTCACCTAATGCGCATGCGTGCTGTCTCGGCACGCTTCTTTCCTCTGAGCTAAAAGCTCAGCTAACAACAACGTAACAACAAGTTAAAGCTGGATTCTGGCTGGATTTTGGATAAGAGTTGACAGGTTTGATGCCAAGCGGGACCGCTTCGTCTAACAGCTCCACACCGGTCGCTGAGTGGACCAGAACCGAGTCGACGATGTCGGGACTTTATTCCGTGATAATCAGTAGCTGTTTTACAGCAGGTAAATCAAATGTTCTTAATAATGTTTGCTTGTGTTTACTTCGGTTACAAAACAACCAACTGAGTTTTTATTTTTCCTGAATGAAGAAGAAGCTGTCCTTCCACCAGGCGGACCGGTTCTGAACGAGGCTCGGGCCAGATGAACTGTAGGAGGACGTCGAAGACAGAGAAGTTGGATGAACTATTTATTTAAAATTCCCCTCAGTTCTTTTATTTAATCTATTCAATGTTTTAAGCTGCATTAATCAAAGGAATGACAGCCTGAACGAGCCAGATGAACAAGTGGGACTTCCAGGATGAAAACAAGCGGAGAGTCCAGTTCATTAACATAGTTTACAGTTAACTTGTTTTTAATAGTGTGTTCAGTTTAATTATCAGTGTTTGTGTGACATATAGTTTGTGGTGTTGAATAAATAAATAAAAATTAAACCTGATGTCTTCATTTTCAACTTTTGTGTTCACGCTATATGTTTAGCATCATTTTAAATTTGAATTACATAATGTCCAGATAGCTTCATTTAGCTCAGAGCTTCATTATATATCTCAAACTAAAGATAAATACTGTTTATTATTATTAAACTTATTATTTAGCACATTTAGTATGTTATAGTGCAGCGCGACGTGTGCACGTTCCTCGTTCTATAAACAGTGATATTAGAACTGGATCAGACTGTCTCTCTTCCAACACAGATGTCGGTCACAGCACCTGAATTCTGACGTAGATTAACTACGAGATTAAAAATATATTCCATCAGTCGTAGTTCTGAAAGCAGTGTATCCGCCGCCATGTTGATAAAAATGTAGCGTCTGTCCACGTGTGCATGCGCGCATGTGGTTTATCACAAAGCCTCAGCGGGAGATGTTTACATTATCAGCGGGGGGTCAGTGAAAACCCTCCACTCTGGAAGGTGGGTTGAGAAACCTCCAGATTCAAAGAGGGGGGCCACTGGTGTTGTGTAAATGATCAGCAGAACTGCAGAGAGAAAGCTGTGGATTCACTCAAAATACGCGCCGTGTGAACGGACCCTTAACTTTTGTAGATTTTTCTACCTGGATTTTTGAGCATGCATCAGGATGTAGTGTATATTGTTCTGTTGTTTGGTTTTATGCTGTTAATAAAGTAAAAAATAAAAAACTTCCTATTTGGCTTAATGTAATTCTGTTTTTTCAAATGTAATTCTGTTTTTTTCTAATGTTGTTCATTTACACCTTAGGACCACCGTAACACATAGAGACAAACGAGACAAACAACCATTCACTCTCTCACTCACACCTAGAGACAATTTAGAGTTACCAATCAGCCTAACATGCATGTTTTTGGTCTGTGGGAAGAAACCGGAGTACCCGGAGAAAACCCACGCATACACGGAGAGAACATGCAAACTCCACCCAGAAAGGCCCCGGACTGGGATTTGAACCAGGGACCTGCTCGCTGAGAGGCAGCAGCTCTACCAGTTGTGCCACCGTGCTGCCCTAATCTTGATTTTAATCAAATAAAAATTCCAGTGAAATTTTCAGTTTTGAATACTTTTGCGAGGTACTGTTTATGAAATTTGGCCACTTGTAAAAGCTTTTATCACTTCACTCATTTGCGCAGCTCCCTTGTTCTTTTCAGAATCATTGTTTCCCTGTCTTGCTGCAGGTTCAGACGTTGTCCACAACGTCTGCTTCTAGCTCAAGTGTAGCCTCACGCCAGAGAGGGAGGAAGAGGACCAAAGTCTTGACCATCGCTCGCAAGTGAGACTTATTTCTTCAACAAAGAAAAAACAACAACTATGCATTAAATAGAGATATGTTAAAGTTCAAGTCAACTAACCTCAGGAGGAGTAACAGAAATGTCTTCCTTTGGATTCTACTGTTGTTAAAATGTTTAGTTACCGATAAGTTTGATAAGATGTTATTCAAAATAATCAAAGCTTAAATGAAAATATATTATTAAACAGATCGAACTGAGCATTCTCACTATTGTTTCCCTGCATTTTATTTTCCTGTACTTGTTTGGCATTCTAACTACTTCTGCATACTATGTGCCATTTTACCCATTCATTAATCATTAATCATTTGGCTCATTGATGAGTTTGGTGCTATGACTTTTATTTAATTTATTTATTTATTAAACTTTTTTTATTTTTTTTAAATATTTAACAGTATTTGAAAAAATGTTCCCCAGGGAAATACTTTTAGTTCTCAATTGTTTCATAAACACTGTTCTCTTTCACATCTGCTTCAGCACACTTGTTCTATTTTTGTTTTCTGATGCTACTTTAAGCTTTTAGCCACCATTTTGCTATATTTAGTTTTTAGCTAATCTTTTGCTACTTTTAGCTTTGAGCTATTGTTCTGGTGCTTGTAGCTTTTAGCTAGCATTTTGTTTTTAGTTTTTAATTAGTCTTTTTAGCTTTTAGATAGTATTTCGCAGTGGTGTGTGCTCGAGTCACATGACTTGGACTCAAGTCAGACGCGAGTCGTTAACACTATGACTTTGGACTTGACTTGAAAAAATGTTCAGAGACTTATTTGACTTGGACTTTTGTACCAATGACTTGGGACTTGACTTGGACTTTGACCTGTTTACTTGAAAAGACCCATAATCCAAAGTTTAAAAACCACGGTGAAGTTAGTTCTAGGTTGGATATTGGAGCTTCGCGGATTCAGCGGTGTCTTCATCTCGTTCGATTCGATACAGGCAGCCTGATTTTGGTCAGCTGCGTTCAGTCTGCCCCCTCCTCTGAGGTGCAATGGTTCGCTTAAGGACCGTCAATAAATTAACAAACCAAACATTCTTGGGACAAAAAAGTTAATAGCTTTCATGTCACGTGACCTACTGACACAAAACAGTCCAGCACTACAGTCAAGTCACTACCTGGTCATTGCTGATGGACACAACGCCCTCTTGTTCTGGGCAATAAACATGCAGACTCTTCCTTCACTGTTTCATGTGGCCACCAGAGTTTTGGCAGTACCTGCATGTAGCGCTCCAGTGGAGCGAGTTTTCAGCTATGGCGGCATCAATGGACGGTGCATCATCGTGCACAGATGTTTGAAAGACTTGTGGCCACTTTGGTCTTTTGCAAATGCAATGCTGAATAGCTAAGTGAAATAAGTGCCCATTCCTGTTCATTGTGCAGTTCACAGATTTGCTTTGTTTCTCTGTCACTCAAACATGGACACATAAAAACATCTGTTCACTAAGTGACCAGATGAGAGAGGAGAGGAAATACATTTACTGTGATGGTTCTTTGTAATGTGCTGTGGAAATGTCAGCACCTTTTGTCTGGACATGGACTTCTGCTTTGGCATTTTTCACTGAATGTTTGCAGCTGAGATTAACTGAACTATGCAATATAAAGGTGACATTATAGAATGACCTTGTTAACACGTAAATTCAGTTGCACATGTTTCATCACGATTTGGGATTATACAGATTTTTAAAAAGAACACGTGGTCGATTATTTACATGTAACATATAGCTGCAACATTGTTAAGCGACTCGAAACGGCTTGAAATTTCAAGATTCAGACTTGGGGCTTGACTTGACAGTTGTTTTGTCTTGACTTGAGACTTGACTCTGACTTGACTCGGGACTTGAGGGTAAAGACTTGAGACTTACTTGATACTTGCAAACCAATGACTTGATTCCACCTCTGGTATTTCATTCTACTTTGCTTCTAGAAATTCTGCTTCTTTCAGCTCTAACGGCTCAGTTTCAGCTTCTTCATCAAATTTCAGCAACGTTCTTCAGTGTTCAGAGTTCATTCTGCATTTTCATAAAAATTCAATTTCTCTAGTTTGTGTAGTTAGCTATAACGTGCAAGCTGACAAAAGACTGAGGAAAGTATTTTATAATTACAATATGTATTTTTTCTGCTTGTGTTAGGATCCTTCGTCTCCGCAGGGAGCCGCCCACCCTGCAGCCAAAGGAGCCCCCTCCATGTCTGCTGGAGGCTGACCTGACCGAGTTTGACGTGCAAAATTCCCACCTGCCCTCTGAGGTGCTGTACATGCTGAAAAATGTCAGGTTTGTACCCTCATCTTCATCAAAGTCAAAGCAAAGAATATCACTCATAATTTAGTCTTTTTACAGTTTTTCTACATTTGAAAAATGAACTTCTGCCCATCCTTTTGTTCTTTTTGATGAACAAACAAACAGTTTGAAGTTACTGCTTTAACTACAATAGATTAACTTCTACAGTCAATCCACATTAAAATGTCAGCCACAGCTAATCGACTATAACAAACAGAGAAATGGCTCTAACACCGTCAAATTTAAAGGTATAGAACCAAAAAAAAAATGTTGTGGTCATAACTGAACGTCATTCACAACTAACATCCAAGCATTAACACCTCGTGTGAGATTTCTTGATGTGACATGAGTTTACGCCTGATGCCATCTTTATTTGAATATCATATGTAACTCAGCTGTGCTGTGTTTGTGTCCAGGGTGCTTGGTCACTTTGAGAAGCCTCTCTTCCTGGAGCTGTGTCGTCACATGGTGCTGATCCAGCTTCATCAGGGAGAGGGACTCTTTAGACCTGGTGACACTGATGACAGCATTTATGTGGTCCAAGATGGCCGCCTGGAATTGTGCATCCATGAAAGCGTAAGACAGAAATGCTCACGGCTTCACAAACAACATGAGAACACTGGAGTTGGTATACAGCTTGATGTTTTGGGTTTGAAACAACTTTGTCCAGCTTTACTCATAATAAAACAGACTTTTATAATCAGTAGTGGTACCAAACGATGCTGCAGTGTACTGTTTCTAAGTCCAACTAAGGTTATACGATCTCAGAATGCAACTGAACGTGTCTCAGCGGTGCTGACTGAAAACAGCACAGACACAGTGGACAACTCAAAAACAGTGAAAAATACTGAAATTGCCTCAAAATGCAAGTATTTAATATTATATGTTACCTCAAAGCTTGGCAGTCAATGGGCCTTTTCATAACATTGCATTTTATCTAACGTTTGTTGGCAGCAATGGTGGGATTAAACTGTTTAATCCCACTAAACATGTGGGGGATTTTTCAAACGATTTATTGGGGGGGGGAGGGGGTGTCCAGAACCACCTGACCCACCCCGGGATTTCTACCAAGCCATCTACCCTCAGATCACAGTCTCGCCTTCTCTAACCACTGTGCCACCACTCCCCCAGGTCTAATTAAGCATACAGTCTGGTTAAAAAAATATAATACTGACTTTCTTGGTAATAAACAGAATTAATCTGTTTAATAACAGTAAATCCAGTCTGGTTACGTCAGCTGATTATTTATGGCAGGATGTCATTTTTTTTAATTCTGTAAGAATATTAAAGTTTTAGCTGCGTTATTGTAAGATGGTTTTATGGTTCTGATTCTAAAGCAGGAGTGTCAAACCCACTTACAACGGGTCCAAAATTAAAACCTTTTTCAAACTGAGGGCCGGTTTCAGAATCTACATTAACTCAAGTTATATACGGTACCTAACAGATTTTCTTGGTTGTAGGTTCCTCAACAAGAGTTTGGTCTCATTTGACGTTCTCTGTTGTACTTTTGACATCATAATCAAAGATTGCTGAAAAAAATTAAAGTGATTAAAGTATTTTACATTTAAAATAATATCTTGGGGGCCAGATAAGATGTCAACAAGGGCCACATTTGGCCCCCAGGCCTTGAGTTTGGCATATGTTCTAAAGTCTTGCACAGTGCACACCTTTCTGTACGTCAGTCTAACTGCAGTATCTTAAGGTGGAAAGTGGAAAACGTGGACCATGAGTGGATTTCTCATATTTCTTTTGTTGAAAACTACGTGTTAATTAAAAATGGTTCTGGTCAAGTGGACAAATTTTATGTAAAATTTGAAACTATGTGCTATGTTTTTAAATTAAATGAGAAGTAAAGATATAGCCCCAAATAAACACTGCACTACGATTAATTTAGAAAATGAAAACACCAACATTTGATAACTAACCTCTTGGTTAATTCCTAACAGCTGTTTTATCTTTTCAACAAGGTTTTTTCCCTGCCGTCCATACAGCAACTTATCCTGGTCCTTTTTACACAACTCTATAGAAAATGCATTAAAATTTGTTCATTTCAGATTGTAAGATAACAGAACTGAAAGACTACTGAGGGGTGGGGGGACTCTTTCAATCCTCTGCATGGTCATAAAGTATGTTCCTCATGTGTTTAGGTCCAGACAATAACACGAGTTTTGTGTCAGTGTAAAATGTGTGATATTGTGTCTCTTCAGGACGGTACTGATGCTGTCGTGAAGGACGTGTTACCGGGAGACAGCGTCCACAGTCTGCTCAGTATCCTGGACGTCATCACTGTATGTCTTTAATGTGTCTGTCCCTTCTTACACTTTCTGCTTTTTATTCTTCTTTATTGGTTTGTTTTTATTAACGGAAGATTGCTATCTGTAGCAGGGGTCTGCAACCTGCGGCTCTTGGTAACTTGGATCAAAACTGACATGGAAATTAATTATGTATTCGTGACCTCAAAACTTTGGTTACGTACTGTAACCCCAGATTCTGTGAGTATAGGCGTAGCCCTTTAAGGCTGTCGCTGGTGGGTTTATCCCGTCATGCAAAGCATCGCACTGAAAAATTTAGTCCACGCCCACCTGCTGTGTGGGCCCCACCCGGTCCGTATAAATTACGTTGAGCAGGTAATCGGCTCCCAAATAGCTTTTTCTTCAGCCATTTAGGAGCCAGTGAGGCCCGGCGCTTAAAGGGCTACGCCTATACTCATAGAATCTGGGGTTACAGTACGTAACCAACGTTCTATTTCGTATAGGCTTCTCCCTTTAAGAGCTGTCGCTGGTGGGTTAAGGGCGAAGCAGATGTAGTCTCCGCCTCACTGGGTCCATTCGAACACCATTAGAAGCGCCCGCTTGCCCAAAAACAACATCTTGTCACTCAGCTCTCCATGTGCATAAATACACATTGCGTAATTACGCACACCATGCACAGACGCGCACTGCGTAATTTACGCGTTCCGAGTGCATGAACGCCGGGGGCCGGTGGAGGAGCGGAGCGTGAAGTTGCTGCCACTGCTGTGGAGCGCCTCTGCTGCTGTTGCTGGCCAAGGCGGTCCCTCCAGTAGCTGGAGGGGCGGGAGGAAGACTGTGACGTCTCCAGATAGTGTACAGTCTCTGAGACCTCCTCGGACCTCTGCGATTTCTCAAGGATGGTCCTGAAGTTGGCCCCGAACAACGCCTCTGGGGTGATGGGGCCCTCCAGCAGGTCTTTCTGCAGCCTCTCGGACAAGGATGGTGAGAGGCGGAGCCAAGTGGTCCTCTGGATCATGGTCATCCAGGCAGCGATGTGGGACAGGCAGGCCACAGAGGTGGCACACATGTTTAAGATGACATCAGCGGCTTTACAGAGAGAGCTCTTTATCTCCTCCAACAGGTCTGCTTCCTCTCGCCTCTTTGAGATGCTGTAGGCCAGCAGGGCTACGTTGTTGTTCGTCACGGCCGCCTGGAATGAGCACTGGTGAGCTTGGTTAGAGAGTTTTGTCACCATCTGGTCATGCTTCCCTGGAGGGACAGGTTGCTGGTCCATCTTGGACGCTTTTGCCCCAAGCGCCTCCGCCAGGCTTAGGGCTGAGTACCTTTCTAAAAAAATCTGTATCAGTACCGGTGTCGGTACCTTCACTTCGGTGTCGGTTCCTGGACGGTTCTTTTTTCGGTACCAATTTTGTAATTAATATTCATTCTAATGAATAAAATTACGTTACACATTACAGTACAAATTGTGAATTTTATTTTTTATCTTTGGTATTTTTCCATTCCAAGCAGTTTTCTTACATAAAAACAAACAAATAATTTCCAGTTCAAAAGAACAGTTTCAAACCAGTGACATGTCAGTGTCTAATGCTCACTGCTACACACTGAGGACCTTTTCACTGAACAGTTTTTCTTCAGAAACATCAACATGTTTGTTTTCTCTGGACACAAACAAGATGCTCCTGGCTGATGTGTCTCCAGCAGTAGAAAATGTTCACTCTGAGGCTGTAGATGATGCTTGTTGCACACACAGATACCTGGTTTTCAGTTTGATAGCACTGACATATTGTCCCTCACATTCCACCAGCAGGTCACTGGATTCACTGAGGTAGGGTTGATGCAGACATCTTCACCTCTGTGTATCTTCTTGAATCTTCTCTGTGGTTCTCTGGTGTTTAGGGCTCTGATCATCTCCCTAATTGACATGAGAACAAAACATCAAAAATAACATGGTTGTGTTATTATTGTTCAAAAAACATCATCTGGGCTGAGAGATAAAATCTTAAATGGTCAACAACATCTTTTACAGTTTATTTACCTCCAACATGCAGCTTCACTGTAGATAAAGACAGCAAACTTTTAACAACAAAGTTTGATTGTCCTGTGGCCCCCACCTCACTTTTCTGTCTGTCCTCACATCTGGGTCAGAACCTCCTGTGAGAAGAGCATTAACATAAACAGTGAACATTAGTGAACTGTTTAAGCAGCTGACTGGAAGGATGAGAAGTTTTACAAGCTAAGATTTATCTGTTACTGTCAATCTTTAGTTAGCTTCTGAGTTTAGCTAGCTACGTAGCTAAAATAAATTTACACACTAATATGTTAAAGTTAGCGTTATTTTACCACCATGTACGTGTTAACAAACTTAACAAAGTCCATGCTCAATAATCCAGGTATAAAATCCAACATTTTTCAGTCAGGTCAGTCTGGTTAACAGACGTAAACTCACCAGCTGAAACAGAAACAGAGCCGTCCTCGGAGTTCTTTGATGAAGACGAGTCCGGCTGTTGAATGTTGATTCAGTCCGTTTCACACACACACACACACAGATTGACTAACGCTGAGAGGAGGAGGGGGGAGGATGCTGCTGTCAGTCTCTCTTCTTGCAGAGAAACACGGAGCAACTTTCTGCGCATGTGTTGTCTGAGCCGTTCGACAACACACGCGCTGCACACGTGAACCCCGTCTGTGGGCGGTGTCACCAGCACCATAGACATACATTGTACATAGAATAGGTGCGGCAGCTCTATACAGCTCTGGGTGTAAACATGTAGTTTATTTGTCATATGTCTGGTGTTTTGCCTGCCTGCATGCTGAAACCACGTGACACCTTACAGCCAGTACCGAAACTTGACACCGAAAAAAGAGTGACGTTTCAATACATACACCGACCGGTGCAGTTCGGTCGGTGCCATAAAAGAACCTCGGTTCGGTACTCAGCCCTAGCCAGGCTTGGCTCCAGGGGGGGAACCGAGGGAAAAACACCGATCGGTAAAACCCTCCACTCTAGAGATGGAGGCAAAGGTGGAGACGGATGTCTTCAGCTTGCTGGGCCCAGCTGCAGCCTCGTTCCATTGTGACCTCACAGCTGGACAGCGATGGCCAGATGGGATCAGGGCGATGAGCCGGGGCAGAGCCAAACCTTCCCGCCAGATCATCTGATCGGGGTGGAGGGAGGCGAGGGACGGAAAGTCCCTTTGTGTTAGCAGTCTCCTGGATTATGCCGGGCAGCTCCGAGAGGTAGGTGTCGACGGCTGGGAGCGGTGTGGTCACCGACGTGGGAAGACCCGAGGTGGCTGAGTATTCGCTCGGCCGCTCTTCTTCCGTCACTATGCTCTCCAGGAGGGATGGGGCAGCAAGGTTGTTTCCAACATCGCCTTTCTCGGAGGAATCATTCGATTCACTGCGTGACTCTGCTTCAAAGAAAGGCGGTGGCGTCGTCTCACGCATAGCGTCCCGCAATGGAAAAACACTCAGCGGAGCTGCTGCCCGCATTGCCTTTTTCGAGGGAATCATCCAATTCACCGCAAGGAAAACACGTTAGAAAAGGTGATGGCGTCATCCAGCGAGTAGCGGCCCACCACGGAAAGACACTCAGCGGAGTTGCTGCCAACATCGCATTTTACGAGGGAATCATCCGATTCACCGCGAGGGAAACGCGTTAGAAAAGGCAATGGTATCGTCCAGCAAGTAGCGGCCTGGCATGGAAAAACACTCAGCGGAGCTGCTGCCAACATTGCCTTTTTCGAGGGAATCATCCGATTCACCACGAGGAAAACACGTTAGAAAAGGCGATGGCGTCGTCCAGCGGGTAGCGGTCCGCCACGGAAAAACACTCCTCGGCACTTACCTTGAACAAGGCTGCTCGTCTCTGCTTCTCCTCGGGGAGGAAGAGCTCACAGGGACGGCAGGAGGTCGGCGTGGCGGAGACCCAGGCATCCTTCGCAAAAGTTGTGCCGGTCAAAGTTGAACATCTTTTCCTTCTTCGTTCTTTTGACAGTGCTAGCTAGCTGGCTGAAGAAAAAAATGGGAGCCGATTGCCCGGTCTCACCATAATTTATACGGACCGGGGGTGGGGCCCACACAGCTGGTGGGCGCGGACTAAAGTTTTCAGTGCTGTGCTGTGCTGGGGATAAACCCACTAGCGATAGCCTTAAAGGGTGAAGCCTATACGAAATAGAACTGGTTGAACAATTTAAATACCTTGGAATAATTTTTTGATTGCAATCTACATTTCAAGCAGCATGTAAAGAGAATTTCACATATAATTAAACTTAATCTGTCAAACTTCAAACATATGACCTTCTCTGACAACAGAATTGTCAAAGGCTTACGTGCATGCCATGATATTTAGCCATATCGCCTTTTGTTATACTACAAAGTCTCACACTTCAGAGGCCATTTTGAATCCCCTAAAGTCTCTTTTTAAGAAAACTTCAATTATTTGCCAAAAAGCTTTTACAGTATCATTATTGTAACATCATAAGTAAATACAACGTTCTGTATATTAATAGCTATCAGATTTTTATGGATGCTTGCCTGATTTAAATAGAGACTTACTTAGATAGAGAACTTTACTAATTGGCTTTACAGTAGGTGATGTTTGTATTATTCTCTGCTCTTTGTTTTGTGCCATGTTTCTTGTTTTTACCTGCCTTAGGACAACGGATGAAAGTTAGCTGTTGTGCTAACTCCGGCATATTTACATTGATGCTTACTGCTGACATGTTGATTAATATGCATCTTTTTAATTTTAATTAATTTAATGAATTACACCCCCAACTCTATCGCTGGAGGACAGCTGCTCAAACCACTCAGCCTAAGCTCATAGACCACAGTTGATGAAAGAATGAAAGACTCTCACATTTGCATGCTTCAAGGTTTTAATTTTTATCAAAGATGGTATGCTTAAAAAGGGTCAGGTTTTGTCTGAATATGTAAAATTAAATAAATTTACACTACTTATTAAAATATTAAATGACAATGTGTCCCAATTTATAGTTTTTCATGTGTAGCTTTTGTATACGAGGGACCTAGGTGGGGTAGAGGTAAGGCAGCCGACTTGGGACTCCAAAGTCCCAGGTTCGATCCCCAGCCACACGTCGTGGTGTCTCTGAGCAAGACACCTAATCCCTAATTGTTCCCTGGGTGCTTACATAGCTGCCCACCGCTCCACCTGGGTGTATCCTGGGCACGATGGGTTAAATGCAGAAAACTAATTTTGCCATTGTATAGGAACATACAATGATGACAACACATAGCACTTATACTACTTAATAAGTTGGTGACTTTGTTTCAAGTTTCATCATGTTTTATGGCTCTCAACACATTTTATTTAGTACGAGAAGAGGCAGAAATGACTTGTTCGATTGTAAAAGTTGCAGACCGCTGATCCACAGTGTTGCCCTCTTAAACCCTTGTTGTATTTCAGGGCTACCCAGCTCCATATAAGACAGTGTCTGCCAGGGCTGCAGTCCCCTCCACTGTCCTACGTCTTCCAGCTGTGGCTTTCCAGTCAGTTTTTGAAAAATATCCAGAGACTTTGGTTCGTGTCATCCAGGTAAGTCTAACCTGCTCGTTATCAAAGAGCAGAATTAAATGTATGTCACAAAGTAAACACAGTTGTTATTAACAACTTAATAGTTCTAAAAGGAATGCATATCGCCCGCTGCCTTTCATGTCCGATTTTTTAACTAAGGCTCCGTCCAGTGAACAGTGTTTTGTAGACACTAGGGATGCACCGATCCAATCCGGATACCTAAATCTGAATATCGTCCGATACCGATCCAGTTCCGATATCATGATCATCATTGATTTTACATGAGGCTGTAATAATCTCCTCTCAAGTACAATTTGCACAAATATATGCATGCATGTCCAAAATGGCAACTTGAGGTAAGTTTTATTAATTTTGGATAAGTTTTAAAGTTAGAATTAAATTCTGTCAACACAAAACATGTTTCTTTTTATTCCTAGCTTTAAAGTGGATGTTAAAGTGATTATTTTAAGTGATTGTTTAAAGTTATTTTATATATATTTTTAAATAAGGGGCAGATATAATAATTTTTTTTCTTCTTTCTGCACTCTTTTCATTCAATGTTTTCTTTTTCATGATTCTTTTTTTAGTTTTGTTTCTTTTAAATGAATGAATTAAATTAATTAAAATGTTAAATGGCTTCAAACACCTGCTAAGTTCATGGCATAAACCAATAGACATGTTCCCGTTTTTAGTATTTTACATCACTTTATAATGTAGCTGTATAACACAGCCCACACAGACACTCCCTAAACTGATGAAGTTGCTGGAGGAGTTTGGTTTACTTTCTAGGTACAAAATCAATGTCAACAAAACTCAAGTATTGACATTTAACTATGACCCCCCAACTTCAATTAAGACCAAGTATGGTTGGAATTGGGATACTGATTTTATTAAATATTTGGGAGTATCACTACCTCAAGACTTCTCGAGACTCTTTGATATAAACTACGGCCCTTTAAATTCAAAAATAAAGTCTGATATACATAGATGGAACGTTATTCCCTTTTTAAGTTTAAAATCCCGGATAGAATCCATCAGGATGAATATACTTCCACGGATGCTGTACTTATTTCAGTGTTTACTGTCATGAACCAGAGGCCGGATCGCAAACAACAACAACAACCAC